GTGTAAGTTGCCTGTGTCAGAAGGAATTGGAAATGGCTTCTTAAATAGATATTATTATGACAAAGACACTCATCGATGTCGCGAATTCATTTATCATGGGAGTAAAGGGAACGCAAACAACTTCCTTTCGCAGGAGGACTGTGAGGTTGTATGCCCTGGTAAAAATTTACTTATTAGTTTATTTGATGCTTTTTTGAAATTGGTTTCGTAAAGAATGGGAAGAAACTAAGTTTGTTATCTATTTGCGGTCAGGCGAACCATTTTTGCAGTTTATCCAAATCCATGCCAAGAAGGTGAACCCTTGCTTGATGAAAACCGAGAACCAGTAATCTGTGGCGGATCTGACACATGCCCCAACGGATATTTCTGTCACGTTGGTGGCTCGCCGGAAACAACAAACTGTTGCCCCGGGAGTGTGTTACATAAAATTTTGATTTCATTATTTTACGCTGACATTCATTTTCACTTTATCAAGAGTAAAAACCTTCTCAACAGTAACTCCGGATCCCATTTTTGCAGCTAGAAAAGGTTGTGATCAGATGTTAGAAATTGGTAAGGGAAATGAGCGACTAGAACGCTGGTTCTTTGATGGAAATGTTCAACTATGCAGGAACTTCATCTACAGAGGTGCAAAGGGGAACTCAAACAACTTCTTATCTCGAGAATCTTGTCAGAAGAACTGCAAAGGTTTAATAGTTTTATTTTTAGCTTTTTTATTACAGTACGTACTTAACGATAAACAGCACCATTTGGTTTCAGAAATGAATCCGTGTGGGGAGGGGGAGCCATTAGTGGATTCTAATGGCGAAAGAATTTTGTGCACTGGAGGTCAACGGCTAGATTCTTGTCCCAAAACACATTACTGTCACGTCGGTACCTCATCATTAACCACACTATGCTGCAAAAGGAGAGGTGAGATTTTAATGCGCCAATATTAGACGCTAATTTTCTTTTATAACTTCAAACATCAGAGTTGTTAGCCTTCAGTTATAATTTTTTATTAAAAGGAGTAAAATGCAAACAGTAACTGCGGACAAAATTAGATCATTGCTGACAGTTTACCTAAATGACGCAAAAGGTGAACTGTATGGTGGTTTAATAAGATAGTACAGAACATTTTTATGTAGCTTTCATTTTTCTTCTATTTATTTTACAGCGATCGATCCTTGCGAGCAGGAAAGATTTGAGGGATATGGTGGTGATGCATTACCAAGATGGTATTTCGACACTCGGATCAACAAATGTGCCAAGTTTGAATATGGTGGAATGGGTGGCAATGAAAATAACTTCATATCTAAACAGACTTGTGATGAAGTTTGTCCCGGTACGTTGGAGTATTTTTCAATCTATCCATTAATCTAATGCTGTTCAAATAATAACCTTTTTGTTGAATTGATGCTAGATTTTTTTAATATGATATTACTTTCCCTTCGTTTTCATTTTTTCTTCCTTTTCCCTGACGTTTTAAGCTGTTGGTGGAATGAACTTAATGAACCTGTTAAAAAATAGAATATCGTGGATACTGCCCGCATGGACAACCGCTAATTGAATCAAATGGCAGGGAACCGATCAGTTGCGGAATCGATAAAGCTTGCCCGACTGGCTTCATATGTCATATGAGCGCTGAATATAACGTCTCCATTTGCTGCCAGGTAAGGATACTAGATTATAAAACTTTATATGTTTTTAACGCATATGGACCTAGTATTGTCCTGATTAGATCGAAGCCAATGATAGACCTTAACGCTTAACACAAGGGATAAAAAATAAAGAGATATTTTCACTAATGGACCTTAAACTTAAAAAATAAATAAAAGATGACTTCATAAATTAATTATTTTGCAAAATTTGTAACGTTTTTTTGTGTTGCTAAATTGTTGGTGCAATTGTTCAGGTGTGTGGTTTCCAAAAGTATTTGTTTTTGTAGGATCCAGCAGATTTTTGTTTACAACCCCGGGATCCAGGACCATGTCTTAATTTCCAAAAACGTTATGGATACCACCCATTAAGCGACACATGTGTCGAATATGATTATGGAGGTTTGAAAATTTAATACATTATTCTCTTTTCATTATTTATTGATTGACTGGTAATAATAATTCTAACGATTCGATTGGGAATAAAAAAAATTATTTTTTTTTCTAATTTTTGGGGAAAAAATGACAGTTTGATTTTGTCCTCATTTTACACACTACTATTTTTCATTCTTCTCTTATTGAAAATACCATAGTCGGCAGCATAAGAGGTTTACCGGGTTTACATGAAAAGGCTTATGCATAAAAACAGTTGGATTGATATACCCCGTTAAGATTACGTTGGACAGTAGTGGACAATTGAATGATATCTAGCTAAAATATCTGCGATGGAAAATTTTTATTAAATCTATGACTATGTTTAGGTTGTGATGGAACTTTGAACAATTTTAAGTCGTTACAACGGTGTACGGAAATTTGTTGCAAAGAATATAAAAGGAGACTATGAAAAACGATACCACTTTTCATAGATATTATCTTGAATTGGTTTTCGGGCTTACTTAGTTTGAATACAGGAAGGAAAAACAAAATTTGATACTGCCGCTTACACCAAATTAGCGATTAAATAATCGGCTAACAAAGATTCTATAGTTTTTTTTGCATTGTTGCTTGTTGACCGGATAAGCCAAAAGTCTTTAGCAGTTTGTTGGATACAGGAATCGTTGTGTACTAATATTACTTGCTTGTAAAACAAAAAAGTGATAGAAAATTGTAATCAAATTTCAGTATACATATGGTATATACAAACAATTAAAAAAATAATAATGAAAATTATAATATATATACATACAGTATATTTCCATCAATAAAACCTACTTAATTTGGGTTTTTTTTGTTATTTTCTAACTGTACTGTTGTAAATTGTTGCTGTATACATTGTTGTTATGGTATGTTGTATTTTTATATACATATTTATCTATTATATTTGCGCATGCGATATGTTGTATCTTTATAAGTCTATCTTCGAGAGTCTTGGAGCATCAAACTTTGCTCCAGTGCGAAACTTTTCTTCTTTTCAATCATAAGGTTGTATATCGTTCCCTTTTTTTTCATGCTTTTTCCTCACCCTTGTAGATTTTGTTGTTGAAAACTCAGTCGTTGGTGTTAAACCGTCTAAACAGTTTTATTCAATTATTTATTTGTTTTATTTTGTTACCGTTGTAGGAATTGTTTACGATGAAAAGAAAAAAAAAA